ACACCTTGGATAGAGAGAGTGGGTGCGTGGGCCCCACAGAGATCTCTGAGCCAAGTGAAAATATTTAGTGTGTGTATTCATATGTGTATATAATATTTGTAATAGTTTTTGGCCACTTTTGTGTGATTTGTGCTTTTTGGGGGTTTAGGATCCATTTTGGGACATGGTACCCAGGTGGTCAAATTTTGGTATAAAGGGTGTTTCTCATTTAAATGTTCTATCAGGTGTTTTTAGTCCTATTTGATGTGTTCAAAGTGTTTTCACAGGTTTGTGACCATTAGGATGAGATTTGGACAATTTTGAAAATGGTTTTTACAAAAAAACTACACTTTTACATCCAAGTGTCCAAATCTTAATTCGACCGTTGGATTTCTCTAAAATTTAGGTCACAAGTAAAACCTTTTATAAGTTTCGTGTGAGCTTTATAATCAGATCGATCGGATATCGAATGGAGAAATGGCACACTCCAGAATTTGGTCCGAAGGAGTTGTCATGATAGCAAAAGTACTATCATGACAGCAACAGTGATGATGTTGCAACATGCACGAAATTCAATCTATCCGTTGGATCTTTTCAAAATTTGGTATGATAATAATACTATTTAAAAGTAACATTTGGGTTTTGGAATTGCTTCGATTGGAGGTCGGATGATAAAATGGTATACTCTGAAAGTTAGTCCGGAGGTGCTGTCATGACAGCTAAAAAAGTTGTCATGACAGCAAAAATGACCAAACTTTTAACATGTCTAATTTTTAATCCGATTGTTGGATCTTTTTAAAATTTGGTACACTTATAGTACCCTTTGAATGTGACGTGTGAGCTTTAAAATTTCTTCGATCGGGGATCGGATGACAGAACGATACCTCCCGAAAGTTGGCCTAAGAGGGTTGTCATGACAGCAATTTAATACTGTCATGACAGCATCTTTTTACCTCGTTTTTGCCGAGCTTGCTTCCATGCGTTATAGGTAAAACCTATAAATTTTTTTATTTAAAAAAGGTTTTAAATGTTTACTTTGCAATCGTGTATTTGCTTAGTGATTTAAATAGTTTTTTTCATAAGTTAGTTTTAGGATTAACTCTTTAATCACACTTAGTTTATTTGAATTGTGTGATTTTTGGATAACAATCGAGAAAAGTGTTACAATTTTACCATTTTACCCTTTATTTACACTTAAATTTTATGTTTAAAATTTGGGAATGTTCCAAAGGTCATTGTCAAAAGCTATTTTTAGTGGCCATTGTTAATTTTTTTTAAAAAAATAGTGGCAATAATTAAAAGTTGATATAAAAAATAATTATATAAATTATTTTAAATTTTTTTAAATATTTTTTAATAAAATGTCACCGCCAATGGTTATTTTTGGTAGTGATTGTTAAAAGTTACTGCAAAAATTCTAATTCTAGTGGTGATAATTAAAAGTTGGTGCCGAAAGTTTATTCTTAGTTTAAACATGTTTTATTCTCTTAAAAAATTATATTATAAAAGAGAATAATTATTGTTATTTAAGTAATAATATTTAATTTATAGAAACAAATTTACACTATCTTGGTTGAGTGGAAAAAAGGTCAATAATAGTTTTGAATTTAAACCTTAGAAATGTTAAAAAAAAAACATTTCGTGAGAGCTTTGACGCTTGTTTAGAGCCAAGTTGACTGCATATTAAATTCAAATTCATAATTAATACCAAATGTTTTTTTCTAAAACATATTATTTATAAAATTATACATAGATCTTTTTGGTTGTGCAACTTGAAAAGAAAGGTGCCCTATTTTTGTTACTAATTACAAATACCTCGTTAATGAATAAAAAAGTTTTGCTTTACATGCAATGATACATAGCGACTTAGCGAGACACAACATTAACATTATGGTCGTTTTACTTGTAATGAGAAAGTAAACGACACAAGCCATATATGCGACCTTTACGTTAAAAGTATTCGATCTGGCCAAAACGAAGAAAGAACGTCAGTCTGCGTACACGGTTACAGTTTGGTCGTTGTCATATTTTCTTAAATTCCAGATGACACTTGATCGCTTCAAAGTCAACACAAACGAAGACATCCTTGAAGGAGGGATGGGCCGTGGGCCCCTTACCTGGGGCCCAAAAAAAAAATCCTTTAATTTTAAATTTAAAATATTTTTAAACAAAATTTCATATTATTAATAAATCATTTTAAATATACTTAATAATTTTATTTTTTTAAAATAAAATAATAAATTTTTAAAAATTCATTTAATATATATTGAAAAGAGAGAGGATTATAAATTAAATAAAGAAAGAAAGAAAGTGTGGTATTACAATAATCTTATTTAGTAAAACTTTAATATTCTCAAAATATCTTATATTATGCAATATGGATTTTTTTAAAAATATCTTATAATTTAGGATGATAAGACTACTTCATCTAGTCCCTAGTATAAGATATCTTTACTTTATCAAAATCAAAGAAAAGTGATCAAGTCATTAATTTTGCATGAAAATATAATAAACTTCTAATTTTATCATTATTTAAATAAAAAAATTTCAATTTTGTATTATATTCTTTCATAGTTAATGAGTTTAAATATGATTAATATTAAAAATTATAAGTGATTAGATGGAGTAACAAATTTAATACAACTATTAGTTAATTAAAATTGAATTAAAGTTTTGATCAAATCATATTTTAATTAATTCAATTATTTTTTTTATCAATTTTGATCGATACAATTTATTTCGTTCAATTCCAAACTCACATAATAATAACATTCAGGTTTTTTTTATCATTTTCTATTTCTGCTTAAATAAACAATTTTATTTCTTTGGTCAACTACTTGAAATTTTGAATTAGGATTACTTATAAAGTTTTTTTTTTCAAATTGAAAATTATTTTCCTGTAATCTCGGATTTTTTCCATGTAATTGTCCGTTTGATTTATGATAATATCATGCTTGTTGTTCAAATATTCCGTCCCAAAACAAAATAAGAAAAGACAAAAAAAAAGAAAAATTACATATAGGTTCTATATAAGAGGCTTATTTACAAATAAATCCTTTAAATTTTTGGGACTTGAGTATAATTTGTGGTTGGGGGTGCAAAAACAATACTACTCTTATTAAAATATATCAAATTATTCTGAAAAGAGAACGTATTTGTATTTATAAAATATTAAATATAACTTATAAAATAAGAATTTTTAATTATAAATTGTGAAGTTGTATATGTAAGTGAAAAGTAAGCATGACTTTAGGTTATTACTTATAAAACATGAAATACAACTTGTAAATTAAGAATTTTTACTTTCAAAATTGTGAAGTTGTGATTGTAAGTAGATGATAAATATGGCTTCAACTTATTATTTATAAAATATAAAATATAACTTGTGATTTAAGAATTTCAAGTATTAAATTGCAAAGTTACAATTGTAAGTATAGAGTAAATATGACTTCAGTCTATCAATGTTTTTTTTTTTTTTGGGGTTTTAGTATGTGGGAACATAAAAGTATATTCACGTAAAATTTCAGGACGTAGCTGTATTTTTTCTGAATTCATGGGAATTATCATAGAAATATTCTTTGCACAGGATCTAAATATACTACTAAACCAAGGTATCGGTGTCACGACTATTGGGCCCCAAACGTCATGTTTTCTAGGAGACAGATGAACCGTGTTGGTTAAAAGCTTCTCTCCACGTACCAAAAAACCATAAAAAAATGTGACTAAATGTAAAACCAATCGCTCGCGTATTCTTTTCTCTATTCATTTTGACTCAAATCGCCAAAGTAAAGGGTTCTTTTTTAATTTTTCTTGTCTTTTTTCCTTTTTCACATTTAATAGTGCTATTTTCATAAATATTCTAATTCTATTGGCTCTTAGTTCCATCAACACAGTTACCAAGCAATTCCTTACTATTTAGGACCCGTTCAAAGTCCGCAGCCACGCCTCAGTTTTCCACGAAAACTCTCCTTCGCCACCACTCGTTCCTTCATACATGCATATATATAATACACTTACGATCTTCAAACTTTAATTGATTGATCTCCATTCAAGCAAACTTCAATAATTGTGTATCTGTGTGTTTCGCAAATTCAATCATCATCATCATCGTGATGCTTAGGTTGAGTCTCAGATCAGCTTCCAAGCTTTTCCTTTCGTCTTCTTCTTCTCCTTCTTCTTCTGTAATTCCAAGGAGGCGCTTCCATAGTTCTCTCAGTGCCATCTCTCATGGTATGCATTTTAGGACAGAATAGTAATTGATTATTTATGCTGGTTCTGTAAGTATCTATCTATCTACCAATCCATGTATATGTATGTGTCTACGACCTAGATTTTTAATGCGCCTTTCTCTAATGTTCTTTTTAATATTTCAACTTTTCAATTTTATTTTTTTTAAATTTTGGATTTTACATAAATTAAAATGAGATGTATTTTGTTATTTTGAAGTCCGGAAACAGTAAAATTTTTTTTTTATGGTTTTTAAAGAAAAAAATCAAAAATACACACTTTTATCATTGAAAAATCATAAAATTACAAAATATTTCTGTTTCAAGGCTTTAAAATGTCAAAACATTTCTTATTTTATATAAAAATTGATGATCAAAAGAAAAAATAAAAACAAAGTTAATATATTTATTTGCACATTTTAAAGTACTTCATTAACATTTTAGGTTGTGATCTGATCATATTTTCTCGAAAACTATATAGTGCTAAAAATATATAACAATTAAAAACCATTATATATGAACGAAAATAACCATTATACACAACATTTTTTTTGTATGGTAGTGATAGAAGAGTACTTGATTATTTATACTGGTTCTATAAGCATCTATCTATCTATATATATGCACTTTTTTTATAGAAATATATATATATATATATGTGTGCACATTTTAAGGTACTTAATTAACATTTTGGGTTGTGATAATATTTCTTTAGGCGTGGGAAGGGATATTGTAGTTCCAAGGTCGTGTGTGAAGAAGGAGAAAATGGAGAGGAAAGATAGTAACATTGGAATACTGAATGGAGTTGAGGATCAACATGGAGGAGTCATCGTAAACATGAAAAAGCCTTTGGATTCCGAAGTCTTTTCGTCTATGTTAGACGCCTCAATCTCATACTGGAGACAACAGGTACAAAATTACATACATACATACATACATTTAACTATATGCAATATGTGCGGTGAGAAATTAAGGGTATATCCCAGAAGTAAATGGCATCAATAATTTAATTCTTTTTAATTTCATATTGCTTTCCCTTCTAAATGATAGGTCCTCTCAACTATATATATATATATATATATATCATAATTCATGCATTCAAGTTGTGATTTTTCAGGGAAAGAAAGGAGTGTGGATCAAGTTGCCCCTAGAATTGTCAAATCTCGTTGAGGCTGCTACCAAGGTATTCCCTTCAATCCCTATTAAATAATCTTGTTCTACATTCTAGAGGTGGATGATGTAAAATTGTTGTGTTGAACATTTCATATTCAACGTGACGAGCGAGTTAATTAATTAACGCCAACTTTTATTTCCCTGAACATGTGATTAAAAGTGACTATTGTGCATTAATAAATCTTTGATGGGTTTTGTTGATTTTCATAATATGATGATAATGAATATGCAGGCGGGATTTAGGTATCACCATGCAGAACCAGATTACCTAATGCTTGTACGTTGGATTCCCAATAATACCCCTGACGTTCTTCCGGCCAATGCTTCCCATCGTGTTAGCATTGGTGCTTTTGTTATGAACTCTAAAAGAGAGGTTAATATATTTCAAATGTTTCCTGGAAATTTAGTCATGAATTAATGATAATATTTTCAATTTTATGAAAGTAATTATATAATTAATTCCTTTCTAATTTATTTAATAGGTGCTTGTGGTTCAAGAGAAATATGGCAGATTCAGTGGAATAGGACTATGGAAGTTGCCCACTGGAGCTGTTGATGAAGTAAGCAGCTATTATAATATATATACATATATATAATATTGATGGATAATCAAAATTTGGAATATGAATTTTTAGTTCACATACTTAAAAACACTCCTTTAATTTACAGGGTGAGGACATATGTACTGCCGCAACAAGAGAAGTCAAAGAAGAAACAGGGGTAACTAAGCAGAATCACTCAATCTATATATATATATATATATATATATGTATATGTATATGTATATGTATTGTTTTATTATTCCTAGTTTTTGAAGCCTACTTCATAGTCTAAAACCACTGCTGTTTATTTTTATTTTTTTGTACAGATAGACACAGATTTTGTTGAGGTTCTAGCATTCAGGTATATATGTTTGTAGTTATTAATTTATTGTAGATTCTCATGTTTATTTCATCGTCAACTAAATTCATATATACTGGTAGAAGCCGTTGACATTGGAAATTTTCGAGTTATGCAAATTTAGTTTAGATTTTATGAAAATCATGTCTAAAGATTTTTGAAAATTTCTAAAACCAATACAAATTTCTACTAAAATTTGTTAAGACAACATAAATTCTTCTAAAAACTGCATGAACTTTTTTAAAAAATTTAATTTTACTGAATTCCCTTAAATGAAGTTGAAATTACAAAGATCTTTATTTACTTTTATAAAAATACACAAATTTCATCTTAAAGTTGAAGTAATGTCTTTATAATTTTAATGAAATATGGATAATGTAATTTAAATTTTTGTATAAGGTAATATCTATATATATCATTTGGAAATAGAAAATATGTATGTTAACTATTTTATATTTAAATAGCATGTGTAAGATTTTTTTTTAAAAATAATTTTTGGTTTATGACAAGCTATATTGATATTAATATGAATCGACCACATAAAACAGTAACTTATACTATCTTATGGTATGATATAATATTAACAGTTAAAAATAATTTTAAATATCATATTGCATGGGCCACTAGTTAAATGAATCTTTTACTTGTTCTTTTTCTAACAACTTGCGTTTATGATATCAGGCAAGGTCACAAGTCCTTCTTCCAAAAATCTGATCTATTCTTTATTTGCATGTTGCAACCACGTTCCTTTGACATCCAAAAACAAGCATCTGAAATCGAGGCAGCTCAGGTATCTATACTGTAAACACTTGTTTATTTTAATTTTTAAGTTCTTATAATTGATTTTTTAGTTCTTAGAATTTCCCTTTCAAAACTATCTTAATACTAGACAAAACAATGTAATATTTTACAATGGTTAAAGGGAAATTTCATCCTTAAATTATAGAAGTCTAGGAGTATATGTGACTCTGCACTCATATTCTTTTTCCCCAATGTTTTCTTCAACTTTTGAAATAGTTTTACTATTAACAAAAGTTAATGTTGACAAATTAGTTAACTATAAAATTGTAGGAAAAAATTCAAAATTACAAAAGGACCAAAAAATTACAAAAGAAGAGTAATGAAATTTTAATATTTTGGTCAATTAATAGTCCTAGTTAATATTTGTTAACCGTAAGGATGATATTACACAATTTTCAAAAGTTGAAAAGGAATATTGTATCAAGAATAAGTTTAAGGTCATAGACACTCTAAAACCTATATTTTAGGGACAAATTTGACATTTAACCTAATATTTGATTTAAAATAATGAAGGTGTGGCTAATTTGTTGTTTTTGGGTCTTGGCCACAGTGGATGCCGATTGATGAATATGCTGCCCAACCTCTTGTGGGAGGAAATGAACTGGTCAATTTGATTACAAAAGTTTGCCTTGCAAGGTTTGGTGGGACCTACAATGGCTTCTCTCCACAACTTACTACCTCTGCCTCTGGCAAACAGACTTTTCTCTACTTCAATGGTCACTTTCCTTAGCTTTTTTGGATAGTCAGTGAAACAAATTTTTTTTTTTGTAATTACATAACACGCATTATTGTTAGTTTATTTAATGTGTCAGCTAGTTCAGCAATGACTAGGCTGCTTAGCTTCTAGTAATTTGTCAAAAAAGAAAATAAGATGATGTTGCTCCCTCAATAGTCGTTAGTATTAACAAGGTTTTTTTTTCTTTTAAATTTTTTCGGTTATTTTCATTGTCGTATTTTTTATTTGTAAAATGAGAGTGATCTCAATTCATTATTGATTCATTATTTGCAGCTGCTTCGGAGTTGCCACAAATTAATAAGTTCAATATGCATATTCTTTTGATTGCTTTTCTGTTTTGCGTGGTTTATGCTTCTTCAATATATATAACCACAGAATTTGACATGCCACTAATAAATCTTACAAAGGAAGCCACAAGTCAGTTCAAAATTTCCATTCCCAATTTAAAGATTAGGAACTTAATGAAATGAGTTTGCTTATCATATAATTGTTAGAATTCTTGAATTCTATGGTGATTATGCTTGCTGGGTTCAAATGATTGTTTAGGCTACTTAAAATTAATGAGAACAAGAACTAATTAATTAGCGAGTTAAATGATTGTGACAGGGATTTGCATTATACTAAACTCTAAGGAATCAATCATACATAATTGAAAACATCATGCATTTCCCAAAAACTTGAAAATCACAAGTCACTTTCCACTATTTATTTACTTGTATAAAAATACACAAACTTCATCTTAAAGTTGAAGTAAAGTCTTTATAATTTTAATTAGATATAGATAATGTAATTTAAATTTTTGTACAAGATAATATCTATATATATATATATATTCTCCGAAAATAGAAAATATGTGGAGTTTTAAATTTAAGATAAAAAATATGTATGTTAAATATTTTATATTTAAATAGCATATTTTTTTAAAAAAAAATTTGGTTTATGACTAAAAGCTATTGATATTAATATGGATAGAGGACATAAAACAGTAACATTACACTATCACATGGTATGATATATTAAAAGTTAAAAATAATTTTAAAAATCATATTGCATGGGCCATTAGTTAAATGAATCTTTTACTTGTTCTTTTTTTAACAATTTGTATTTATGACGATATCAGGCAAGGTCACAAATTCTTCTTCCAAAAATCTGATCTATTCTGTATTTGCATGTTGCAACCACGTTCCTTTGACATCCAAAAACAAGCATCTGAAATTGAGGCAGCTCAGGTATCTATGGTGTAAACACTTGTTTATATTGATTTTTTAGTCCTCATAATTTCCCTATCAAATTTTAGTTTTGAAATATCTTAGTACCAGACAAAACAATGTAATATTTGAAAATGGTTAAAGGGAAATCTCAACCTTAAATTATAAGGTCCAGGAGTATATGTGACTCCACTTTTTTTTTTTTCAATGTTTTCCTTCAACTTTTGAAAATGATTCTATTATTAACAAAAGTTAACATTGATAATTATTCGACTACAAAATTGCAGAAATAGATTTGAAAATTACAAAAGGACCCAAAAAATTACAAAAGAAGACTAAGAAAATTTTATTGATAATGATTTATAATATTTTGGTTAACTAACAACCAAAGTTAATATTTATTAACAATAAGAATGATATTGCACAATTTTCAAAAGTTGAAAGAGAATATTACACCAAAAATAAATTTAAGATCTTAGATACTCTTAGACTTATAGTTTAGGGAAAAATTTGGTATTTAACTTAATATTTAATTTAAAATAATGAAGGTGTGGCTAATTTGGTGTTTTTGGTCTTGGCCAGTGGATGCCAATTGATGAATATGCCGCCCAGCCTCTTGTGGGAGGAATGAACTGGTCGATTTGATTGCAAAAGTTTGCCTTGCGAAGTTTGATGGGACCTACAATGGCTTCTCTCCACAATTCACTACTTCTGCTTCTGGCACACAGTGCTTTCTCTACTACAATGGTCATTTTCCTTAGCTTTTTTGGACAGTCACTGGAACATTTTTTTTTTGGTAATTACATAACACACATTATTGTTATTTTATTTAATGTGTCAGCTAGTTCAGCAATAACTAGGCTGCTTAGCTTCGCGTAATTTGCCAAAAAAATAAGATGATGTTGCTCACTCAAGAGTCGTTAGTATTAACAAGTTTTTTTTTTAAAAAAAATTGTTTAATTTTGATAGGTCTTTTTCATTGTAATATTTTTTGTTTGTAAAACAAGAGTTATCTCAATTTATTGTTCATTCATTATTTGCAGCTGCTTCAGGGTTGCCACAAGTTAATTAGTTCAATATGCATATTCTTTTTGTTGCTTTTCTGTTTTGCGTGGTTTATGCTTCTTCAATATATATACCCATAGATCTGACGTTCTATTAATGAATCTTACAACGGACACCATAAGTCAGTTCAATATTTCCATTGCCAATTTAAATATTAGAAGTTTATTCAAATGAGTTTGCTTATCATATAATTGCTAGAATTATAGAATTATATGGTGACTATGCTTGCTTGGTTGAAAGGAGAACAAGAGCTTAGTGAATTAAATAATTGTGACAGGGATTTGCATTCCACTAAATTTTAAGGAATCTATCATTCATAATTGAATACATCATTCATTTCCCAATAACTTGAAAATTGCAAATCACTTGCTACTATTTATCACACTAAATAATCATTCTTATTTCAATTTCAATCCAATTGATAGGAAAGAACGACTAAGTTGCCCCCAAAATGCATTATGGATTGTAGCTTAGTTAATTTAAAGCTTTAAATGCAAGTGCTCACTACTAAAAAAAAAAAAACTTTATATATAGCACTCTTTATATTATAGTTATTTCAAAAACATTATATAGAGGAAGTAGGATTGGCACTACTATAGGAAGTACTTTTTTTCATTGATTATTTTAAATTTTTTATATTAGTTTAAGGGGGTTGTAAAAAATTTCATCGTGGAAAGTCTCACTTTTCACGTTAGTTTGAAAGTCACTTTCCAACTGATGTGGAAAGTGAGACTTTTCATATCAGTTTTTTGTTTTAACTGACATGGAAAGTTGCACTTTCCAAGTCGGTTGTGTTTGAAATTGACATGGACTTTCCACATCGGTTTATAAAATAACCAACATGGAAAATTCATGTTTTTTATATGTAATATATTTTCCAGTACATCCATAATTTAAACTTCTAAGCTGTACATAATATCTAATAGGTAAAAATAGCAAGCCAGCCAGTAGACATTGCACAGCAAATTAATTAGACATATACGTAACTAGCATAATATTTGTTCGTTGTAGCTAAACTAATTAATATAGTTATTTGATCAACTAATTGTAAGTACCATAACATTTTTCCATTGTATCTAAACTAATAAATATACATGTATGTCCAACTAACTATTTGGCAACCTCTCACATTGAAAACTACTCTTGGAGAATTTGATTAGCCAATATTTCTCGAATGCCATTAATGTCCTTGTCATTATAGGGATCCAAATTATCAAAATCTAAATAATAAAATAAATTAAAATAATACTTTAAGATGTTAAGTGAAAGAATTTAAAATAAAACACCGAAACAGAAAGAATACCTTATGCAATTTTGTGGTACTTCTCACTTCAACTATCTCATACATGTAACGAAAGATATAATATTTGCATTTTGTTTTTTTTTCTAAGTCCTTACAGTACTAAAAGTAAATGAACAGTTAAAATTAAAATAACTTTTGGGTAAATCTCATACATTTGAATGGTGATTAAAGATAGAAGTTAAGTATTCATACTCACTTTTAGGTAAATCCAATGAATCACTATTTCTTCCTTATATAATTCAACCGACATACAATATGTTTGAAGAGCTTTATTATGAATTGTAAATGAAAAAAAAATTAAAAAGTATAAATATATCAAGAAGTAAAGTTTTAAAAAGTAAATTTACTTGTTACAAATCCATTTAGTCTCATCACTTGGTTTATTCCCCAAAGAACAAAACCAGTAAAAAAGTGACCAATGATACCACCAACATATAAAATTTTTAATGTGTATTAAATAACATGACTAAATTTATAAATATGTAGACATGAATAAAAAAAAATATTGCCCTTCAATAGTTGGTGCTAAATAACATGGCAACTCTGTATCTACCATATGATTCATTGTGTATGTCATCATCCTATGCATTGTGTCGTTCTTCCCCTGCAAAGCTTCCAAGCACAAAAATCCAAATTTTTCATTTTCTCCCATTTCATAGCAAACAATATAAAAGGTTTCTATAATTGAAATGTGGTCAAAAAGTTAAAACTACAAAAGAAAACTAGGAAAAATGGGGACAAGTAAACAGAAAAGTTATAAAATTCCTAATTTGGCAAATGATATGTCCATCTCCTTTAAAGTTAAGAACTCCTTGAGGTCTTTGCTATTAATTGGAAAGATATATTGCATCTTTACACCCACAATACCCAATGGCATTTTAATGTTGATGGCCTCTGTTATATTCTTGTAAACTTGATGTAGTGTTGCTAGATAAGAAAATTTCACAGCATTTTTAAGTTCCTATTAAAATGAGAAGAGTTTTATAAGTAATTAAGTAATATAAATAAAACAACATTGGTATTAAGGCGTTCTTTATCTCTAGTGATGTTACTTCAGTATTTGACACAAGATTTTTAGGCCATAGAATGAAAGCTCATTCTGCTTACTATTGTTGCAACCTCAAAGGTAGGAAATGGCATTGGTGCATTATCCTTACTCATCCAAACATATGCAACTATCACCCTAACTTAATCCTCTCAAATTTTTTGATGATGGATTGTAGACCCAAGAGTATTGTTGACCTTTAGCAACAACACATTTTTTTTGGAAGCTCTAAATAAAGATATCAAGGAGTTCCATTGTCATATGATATAAGACGATTAGGGTCAACGAGTGCCAATGCTAATGCCCCAATAGATTACAACTGTCTTTGGTGCTTTACATCACATAGAAAGTTTGGATGAAATAAATAGAAAAATTAAACGTTGATAAAATTAAACACTAATCTACATTAAATCAAATGTGCACAAACCTGGGATGTATACTCAACTACCAGAACTATCATGCCTGAGACCATAGATTTCATCTCTTCACAAAGCTAGGCCATCATTTCTTCCTGAAGAGCAATTCACAAAATTCTTGTTCGACCTCTTATCAAACCTCTTGTCACATATCATCTCGAATATCTTCCCTA